GCACTGGGTGTCCCAGGCCAAGGTACGCCTCAGCAATGGTCCAGAGTTATGTGAAGGGTGGTGGGAGACCAGGTGTGGTCATTCTCTAGAGGACTGCCAAGGGCAGGAGGCACCCCGTGCAGCCGCACTGGGCCTGGAGCAGGCAGGAGAGTAGGTGGGATGCCAGCTCCAGTGACCGAGCAGGAGGCTCTACTAAGCACAGGATGAAAGTGCATGGGGGTCTGCCCTCAAAAGGATCGCTGTCTGTAGGAGGCCAAGCTGCCCAGACCAGCATGGGCTCCTGGGGAAGCAGAGCTAAGAGTTCCTGCAAGCAGGTGTGGCCTGCCCTGGGTTTAACTTTTGTGCTTGGAGACCCCCTGAAGGAGACTTGGAAGCTGTGACTGTCGCTTGTTCTAGCTTACATACCATTTTTCTTTTTGTCTTTTCAAACTGTCCATTCCCAGCTCGTTGTAAGTATTAACCATTTTGAAGCACAACACTTAGAGCAGACTTTTCAGTGTGTCCACTGGAATCAAAATGCATTTGCAACTTGACACTCATTCTGGTCCACTTAGAAAGGACCGAGCAAGCTGCCCCTTCATGGCTGGACGCTCTTATTCCTCCTTCCCCTGGAGCTTTGCCCACAGAAGTCTATGCAGTGCAAAACGTATTGGGTGGAAAGTTGACATCACAGACAGCCTGTTCTCTGGGGCACGTGATGGGGTCTGCGCCTGCCTTCCCCATAGCTGTGCCACCAGGCATGAGGCTTTGGTCCCGGAAGAATGAGCAGAAATGACCTAGAGGCACAAAGCTGTCCCACTGGGATGGTGGCCTCTCGTCCCCAGAGTGAGGGGACAGATGGGGACAGCGCTCCCAGCCAACCCAAGATCAGTGTGGGCTGGAAAAGAACCCTGTGCTGTTTTAAGCCACTGGGGTTGTTGATTCCTGCAACTGACCCTTCTCCCTCCCCCTCTGCTCTTCTCCAGACAGATATGTGTATACATTGAGGCAGTCATTTGTTTTTACGATTATTATTTTTTTAGTAATCTCTACACCCAACATGGGGCTCAAACTCACAACCATGAGATCAAGAGCTGCATGCTCCTCCAGCTGAGCCCACCAGGCGCCCTGAGGCAGCCATTCATTTTGATTTGTGAAATCGTAAGACTGAACTTAGTGACAAATTCACCTGGATTGTTGTTCTTGTAGTTACTTAAGTACTTAATCAGGATGACACGCATGTGTTGTAGACCTTCATAAGTAAACATGGAAGTCAACTTGAACTGGAATGGCATCGCCTAACGAGTTGTCCATCCGTCTTCATGGGAGAGCACGGTTTACAGCTGGAATGAGGGTCCATCATCCCATTTCTTTCTGGTTTTGGCTTCACAGACATAGAGCAGATTAAAAGCTTTGCTCCAGGGGCGCCTTGCTGGCTCAGTCGGTGGAGCGGGTGACTCGATCTCAGGGTTGTAGGTTCGACCCCCACGTTGAGTGTAGAGATTACTTAAAAGGGGAGGCGCCTGGGTGGCTCAGATGGGTAAGCGTCCAACTCTTGACCTTAGCTCGGGTTTTGATCTCGGGGTCATGAGTTGAAGGCCACATTGAGCTCCACACTGGGCGTGGAACCTACTTAAAAAAAAAAGTTTGCTACAGCACTTAGTCTTTCAAAATCTCTTCATGTGTCAAAAGCCACATGCTAATGTGTGACCACAGGAAAGGACAAGTGGCTCCCCAGTGTGGTCCTCCCTGGACACAGGATTTGGAAAGAGTAGCCCTCCAGTTCAGCCTGGGCACGCCAGCCAGCTGTGAGGAGTGTGGTAGCCCCCATTCTCCAGCCCTTCTGCACATTCCCCTGGGGAGAGAACGAAGGAGAGAGGGCCGGGCTCCAGGTCTCTACAGGGTTTGAGCCCTGTGTGGGGTGTCATCAGAGACCACTTCTCACCACTCTGCTCTGGCCCCCACCCAGCCCCACCCAGGCCGCTCTCTGGGAGTAACAATGACATTTAAGACAGCAGCTGCAATGGGGGTGGCAAGGGTGCACGGTCCACAGTGCAGCCTCAGCTCTGCCAGGGTGTTGCCTCTGTTGGATGGGAAGACAGGGGCCTGGCCTTTCTTACGGAGCATGGGCCATCAGGGTCCCAAGCACCACTGTACTCCAGAGGCAACTCCACAGCCTGCCAGTGCCCATAGGCCAACTCCGTGATCACATGGAGACTAGCAGTGTTCCTCTGCACCAGACTAACCAGCTGAAATGGGGTGCTGTGTACAGAGGAACAAAAATTAGATGTGTCTAGGACATAACAAGCCTATGCAACAACATTTGAGGGTTTACTACAGGATATAAAGAAGATCTCGATAAATGAAATATACTATGTTCATGGAAGGGAGAACTTCACATACAATTGTACAGATTTCCGTTGTCCCCAAGCTAATATACATTCAAGGCAATCTCAATATTCCAGCTAGATTTCCTTTTAGGAAACCTGACCAGTCTTTCTAAAATGTATACGGAAAAGTAAAGGTCATGAATACCTAAATCACTATTGAAAAAGAGGAAAGGGGTACCTGCCCATCCACGTATTTGGTGTACTGCAAAGCCATTACAAGGACAAACCCATTCCAGATGTGGTGATGACATCTGGTGGTCTAAGAAAGGATATGTTGCTTAGTCAAAGTGTTGGGAAAAGACACCTCATCTTATAGAGAAAAACTAAGCTGCATTTCTACCTCCATGCATGGTCTTCCAGCTAAAAGGGTATCTGCTAGATGAGTAATACCACCTATGGAATTTGCTTGGGTTCGATCTTCTTGGAGAGTCATCTCCTGAAATCTCCGCATTAGAGATCACCAATTCACCCCAACACAGAAACAAAGCACATTTCAATGTGTCTGCTTACAGGCCACAGAAGAATGTGGAGGATACACCGTCTTTCTCCTAGAGCGACACCAGGATGCCTTTGTGACGTTGCAAACAAAACCACAAACCATGTGGGGGAAGAAATGATGTTAAGGATTTCTGTCCAGATGCCATGGACAAACCCAACAGACAGAAGGACTTGAAGGAGCCCATAAGCAGATTAACAAAGAGGCTGATGTAAGTCCAAGACCTCCTGCAAATGAACCACAGACAGGAGCTCTCAACACGCGGAGGCTTGAACGGGCAGTAAACCCACCGGTAATCGGAAAAGGGCAAACTGAAAACACTGAAACCACATTGCCGCCCTTAGGACGGCAGATACCAGAAAGCAGATGATGCCAAGAGCTGGGAATACTATGGGGATAGAACCTCTTTTTCATGGTGGAAGTGTGGTCCAGCCTTTCTGGAAAGCAACCCAGAAGGTGCCCCCAGTGGTACCACTCTGGGGGTTCCCAAAGGGCCTTAGGGATGTCCATGCCATTATGGGGGGGGCATCTGGGACAGCTGGGGAGTGTCTGGATTATCTGGGGGGGGGGTCTGGGTTTATAGGGGTGTGGCTGAGTTCTCTGGGGGCAGCTGGGTTTGGGGGAGTTAGGTTGTATGTGGGTGTCTGGGTTATGTGGGGGCATGTGTAGGTCTTCTGGGGGGTCAGCTGGGTCGTGCAGAGGGTGTCTGGGTTTTGCGGGGAGCCGCTGCATTATCTGAGGGGTGGGAAATTGTAGGCCGCCCAACTGCCTCAGTACGTAGTAGACCAGTAACACCCGCTGGAAGCCAGGGGTGGGCATCATTCAGAAACATACCTGAATCTTTAAAAGCATAGAGACCCTTAAGAAAGGTGAAGAAAGGCAAGGTGCGGAGCGTGACTGGCTCACCCTGGTGGCTCAGGACCTGTAAATATGGTGCCCAAGACATAGGAATTGTTGAATGAAGTTAAAACTGCAACCACGCTAAATATTTCACAAAGATAGCACATGTATATCCCATAATAGTGGGAAGGGGACCAGCCATGAAAGAAAATGAAAAAATGATGAACCACAGAGGGTCTTGCAGGCAGCGGGGCTTGAAGGTGGTGACTGCGCTCTGCGCCTGAGACCAAACCCAGAGAAGTGTGTGCGCGGTTGTTCCGGAGGACAACAGCGGGAATGGTGGGGCGTGGGGCGTGGGAATGGAGGGGATGCAGGTCAGGAAGGTGGCAGGGAGCCCGGGCCAGACGCACCCCAGAGCCCACCCCGGAGGCTGGCACAGTCCAGCCCCCAGCGTGTCTGTCGCTTGAGGCAAAGGGAGGAGTGAGTGAGGTGGGGAGGCGGTGCAGGGCAGAGTAGGAAGCGGGGCACGGGAATGATGGGGGGCCCTGGCGCTGGGGGATGGGAAAGACGCCCCACAGTGTCCGCGGGCCGTTGCCCCAAACTCGGGGGGTGCTGCCCAGTCCCCCGCGTGCGTCCGAGCGCCCACCGCAGCAGCGTCCAGGCTCCGGGCAGGGAAGTGGTGGAGGCGGCAGGAGGCGGGACGAGGAGACCCCTCCTCGCCGGGGCGGCTCCCGCGACCACTAGCCGGGCGAGGGGGCCCGCGCTCGGCCTCCCCCTCCCTCTCTCCATCTTGAGGAAGAGGAGGAGGGGCCCGTC